TTCTCATTAACATTTTTGCGCTTTTTGTGCATTGCAAGGGTTTTCTCAACCCTCCACCCCCACGCTTCAACACCAAAACGTGGATCATGGGAGGTGGGGTGAGCATATATATATATATATATGTATTGGGGTAATCTTGGGTTAATACAGGGATATAATGGAAAATTTGAAAAAAAATAATAACAACAATAAAAAAAACACTGTGAGATCCTCACCCCTAAACTAGCAAAGCCTGCCACATAGCTTCAGCCCCTCCCCAATGCCCCACCGCCAACTTTCGGTAGCCGGACTTGGATACCCCGTGGACCCGCCATTGCAGCCTGCTTCCCTCGCTTCTGTATCCTTGCCTCAGGCCCAGAAGTACCAAAGAGTCCTGAGAGTTCTGTTCAAAAGTTCTGGTACCAAGCTCTGACAGATGCCTGAAGCTATGTGGCAGGCTTTGCCAGTTTTGGGCTGAGGATCTTAAGCTAGGAGGCTTGACTACCCGTCTTTCTCGGAGAAGAGCCCGTTTCCAATGGACCAACCTACTGGCTTTCGCGGCAGCATCCCCACTACTATTGGCAGTGGACGTGTCATTCATAAGTCGGCCACTATATACCCCATTATAGTAAGTTTAATTTTCTTTTCCATTATCCCTGTATAAACCTAGTAATACCATACATACTATCATAGATTCCATCTTCTTTTCCATATGCCTATATAACCGTTTTGTATACCCTCACCGTGCCTGTCCGAGCGCGGCGACGGCCTGTGACGAGTAGGGCAAATTTTCGACTGACAGTGGCAAGTTTCAGCCTCAGGCCTCGTGTGGAAGTTTGTAAACATGATGGTTTCCCCAAATACGGCACCCCAAGATAGACCGCAATTATGGGGGCCCCAAATAAGGTAGCCCTATTTTTGGGAGTCCCTTGCAGTCCCTGGGGGATACCTCTGTCCTGTGAAACTGACTTTGGGCTTTTGGCATCTGGAAGTGAGGTTTGAGCCAGGTGTGGAAAGAGTTCGGATACTCTTTCGTCTTTACGTTTGTGGAGCCCTGATAGAGAAAACTGTGCTTTCAAATGCTTCCAGTTCTTACTTAGGATCCTATTGAGCAGGACATTGTTTCCCACTGTTGTGAGCTCACCGGTAACACGAACTCTGTTTCACAAGTTCGTACTATGAATCCTTGAGTGGTGCCAGCAATACCTTCTTTTGAGCGTTTTGCCTTCCTGGCGTAAACTGATGATGGTTTGGCTGGTTTATGGTTTGTAAGGCGGCTTCCAGGCTACTTCTTCAGTAATTGCCTGAGAAACAAACCCAGGAAGATACAGGCTGACGGGCCTCTAACATATATGATATATTGTGATATGCGATATTATCATACAACAGAACCACCACAACACACTACAACACACTACAACACATTACAATGCTATCCAGTACACACTACGACGCGCTTTCCATTAAGAATCCTGCTACCTCTACATCACTTAAGTCCCGCAGACCTGCTCTCAACCACACATGGTCCGTCATGCCAGCAGTCATCAACATCATCAGGGCTTGGCAAGTTCGAGTTTGTCCGCTCATGGCTACGAATTGACAGTACAAAAAGACTTTGAACTCGCACTAGCTACTGCTGTCCCTGGTCCACTAAGCTCCAGCACGAATGCCTGCTCATTGCATCCCAGATTGCGCTCTCTGGCAGCAAAAAGTGTAAAAATGCCCATCATACCTATTGGAATCCAAGTATCCCGGAAGCTCCTGCTATACTTATTGCTGCCAACACTCTTCATGTTGCCATCTGGTTTGCGAATTATGGCTTGTGGCCTGGCTTAGAACCTCTACAGGCAAGCTTCGAGCTAGGGCTTGTTGTAAGGCTGTCCACTTGGATTGCTGCATCAGCCTTACCAGGCCTGAACCCTACGGCAAAAATGCCTCGATTTCCTAGAAGCAAGCAGCGCTCCTAGAGCTCCACAGGACCCACCGACCAGAAGCACAGGAAGTGGCTCGTGCTCGGTATCGCTTTCGATGTCTAGTATCCGTTACACCTGATTCTTGGACCAGGGTTTCAAGCCACAAAGAGCAACAAAGATTCGGGAATTGCTCCAGATGACTCTGCACTATCCCTAACATGCCCAGCATGACCCCCGCGTCACCTAGGTTACCCTCAAGGAAACCCTCTTTTGGATGAGAGTCCCATGGCCTGTAGAGCCATTTCGGCCGCTCGACAGCGGAGCTGTTGAGGTTCGGGCTTGAGGGTCTACGGGCTGTGCAACCAAGACTTGTACTTGAAATAGCAATAATCATAGCAGGAGGTCCTGTGGTAGTGTTGGTGGTGCCAGAAAGGGGCCCGTGGTAGCAGTAGCGGCAGCGGCAGCAAAAAAAGCAGCAGCAGCAAAAGAAGAAGCAGCAGCAAAAGAAGAAGCAGCGGCAGCGATGGCAGTAGTAGAGTGGTGCATCAAGTCAAAAGAAGCCTCTTTCTAAATGACAACGATACTAGTTACGGTACGAGCTGCAACTGAACTATCTCTGCAAAAAACTTTGGGTGTGGGAACTTGGTTGGGAATTCCAGGCCATGGGATGCCACGAACTTGGGTAAAACCATGCCTTCTGCATGGGTCACTTCGCTTCAGGACCCCTATTCATGTGTGGCAAACGATTTCCTGTAAGCTGCAGGGTTAACATGCCGTCTATCCTACGATATCCTCCGTGATGCGCGGTTGCAAGGCTACTGAGCACTATAGCCTTGGGAGCTTGCATGCGGGAAGCATGCTGACACAAACACTGTAAACTGTACACCCTGAATCCTAAACCCTAGAAACGAAAAGAGGAACATATGAAGTCAATGGCGATTAGTACATCCAGGCCCCGCGCTACCGCGGCTCTGGCAGGAAAGGCATCCGCCTCGGTAGCTTCCAAAAAGAGCCAACGCTGGGAAAGAACACTTACATACTGATCAAAGAGGTTTATAGGAACAAGATACAGCTACGAAAACTTTACACACCCATCTCCAATGCCAAAGGTGCAGACCGTTCACAGCTTTGCTTGACACCATTTGTATCAAGATTAAACGTCGTCGTAGTATCAGCAGCACCAGCACCAGTTATGTTGGTAGTTTGTGTAAGTGTAGTGGCGGCAGCAGTGGTGATGGCGGCTACCCCCTAAACCCATTGCTCAGGCCGCGCCTCCGCAAGGCCGAGGAATGCCGACGAGTGGAGCGCTGCTAAGGCGGCCATGCAGCTTTTGCAGGGGAGCTGGGGTTAAGGGCTTAGGGCTTAACTAGGCGTAGAGTTGCCGATGTTGAGGGTATGGAGATGCGGGGATATGATCTTATAAGGTGAGGGCGGGAGTCTAGGATTTGAGGCCGCAAGCTTGCGATCTGGTCCTTTGTGTCTTTGAGTGGCTCATTGGGTTCAGGGTTTTCGGCTCAATGCGGCTTGAGCGCACTCATGACTTATAGTGTACGGCGGGTCTAGGATACAAGTACCTCTCGGGGTCTGGTAGGACTGTAGGCATGCAGAAGCAAGTTTGCATCCAACTACTATGCAGGGTCTGGGGCAGTTTGGGTTTTGGCTTTGGGTCTGCTCTTCTTGCAGGAGCCCGGTATTCTGTTCTGCTTGTGGTCCTGAATCAAACGCTCGAACCAGCAGTCGCAGGGATGTCATGCGTGCCGGATGGATCGCGCGAACCCTGAGGGTGTAAGATCGCCGCCATTTGGGTTGCACTTTACGACAACATCCTTACTATTGTTGCTGCTACTTTCATACTCGTGCAGTTGTAGCTCTGTCGGCTGTTCTGTTTTTTGATGTAGCAGGTGTTCTGACTATATAATGGAGAAGGATTCAGGAATGACGGTCAAGTCCCTTTAGAGCCCATCACACATTCTGGCCATGTGCCCCAACGGTGGGTGCTTCACTTCAACAGCTCTGGCGTCCGGCTTCTATGTACTTCATGGAAAGTAGCTTGAACGAAACCAACTGTTTACACTCACGAGGCCCATCACACGCAATTGAACTGCTTAAGCTCAGAAACTTTCATGTGACCTCATCTGCTGTTGTATCCCTGCTTTCACGGGGCACGTGCCATACCAAAGTGCCTTGTCTTGGTCATGAAGCACCCTGCGAACATCCAAATGCATGCAAACTTCTGAGCGAAGCTCAAAAGATAAGCATAGGCACTGACTTCGGAGACTCCAGAGCACTCGCTGTGTCAGCCCGAGTTACAACCTGCACAAGGAAGGGAGGGGGCCGAGGGGGATCTCGCCACTTTAGGACCTTGCATCTCAGTTATCCCAAGACTCCACAAATCTTGGGAAAAAACAGATATGCAGGCAGCTTGGCAGCCATTGCCACTAAAAGAGAGTCATCTCTAAATCTCC